AAGGGGTTCCCGGGGGGGGTTCCCCGGAAATTTTTTCCTTCCCCCCTCCCCAAAAGAGCCCCGGTTAAAAAATAAAACGGGGGGGAGGGTATTTTTTGGGGGTTTTTAAAGGGGGAGGGGGCAATTCCCGGGGGGAGATTTTTTTTTGGGGTTTTAAACCGCACCGGGAATTTTTTCCTTTTTTTTTTCCCCGGGGGGTTCAGCGCCAGAAAAGGGAAAATTTTATTTTGAAGGGTTTTGGGGGTTTTGCCCCCGTTACCCCCCCCCCCTTCCCCCCCCCCCCCCCCCCCCCACGGTGTATGCGCGGACTCCTGTGGGGATCGTGTACATTGCCTCTTGACCGAGGGTGATGGTCCCGCGGAGATGCTCAGTAAGCCGCGTGTTGGAAACTACTCGGAGCGTTCACGGTCTGGCAAACGTTTTCTACAAGTAGAGTGATCAGTGATGATGGTTTCTGTCTCCGCCACCACCCCCTCCGTCAGTATGCGCACCGTCGCGGCCGCCTCCGCACAAAAGCTACACAAAACTAGCCTCACTATTTTATTCTCACGTCTCTCTTGCGCTTTCGTCTTCATGCCGAACTTTTGCAAGGCAAACGTTATCAACGAGCTCGCACGCACGCTCAAGCCCGGCGGCAAGGCCATCGTGGTCGACGCCACTCAGCCCGAGTTCGACGGCGCGGGAGTGTGCACCCTCGACAGGCTGCCGTCATGGGGGCAGATGACCCCGACCTACCGAGCGTACCTCAAGTCCGACTTGGAGTACAGCCTCATTAAGGTGAGGCTGGGGGGTGGGGGGGTGGGTTGAAAGGCGGGGTGGTGGGCGGGGCGAGGTTGAAAAAGTGTAATGGGCGAAAGGAGGAAATTAAGAGAGATGGACCAACTCACAGAGACAGGGACGGGCGCCCTCCTTGGCTGTGAGACAAAGTTGTCCGACGGCAAAGAAACGCTCGCTAGCACGAGAAAATTTTGACACCAAACCTCTTGCATCGGTTCCATCCATGGTGGTGTTGAACGGCGTTTATTTACGTACTCTTCCAGTGTACGCCACCACATGATTGTGCGGGTTTTGTTGGGCGCAAGTTTGGCGCCGGATGATGGCAACAAAAAAAGTCGAACCTCGGGCACCCCGTGAAGTGCGATGTAGTAAATGACTTACCGCGCTCGAAAGTTCCCGCCAATGCCCCCTCCCTCCTGGTTTCCCGGCCCTCTTCTGCTCACGATTGTACGTCGATATTCCGCTTGTCCTAGGCCGGGCTCTTCGTGCAAGACAAGGAGATCAACTGGGTGTCCAAGGTTATCGTTGCTCAGAAGCCTCCTCGGCTCAGCGCGCCTTCCACACACGGAAGGCTCATGGGCGTCGGCTCGTGAACTACCCGGTAGTCTATACCGCAGCTCCAACACACCACCACACACATCGTTCACAGCGCCCCCCGCTTCCACCGGGACAGGCTGCCGTACATATCGCTCATGTGAGCGACAAAGCTAATGCCACCGCCTTTAGTGGACATGGTCGGGATCGGGATAGGGGAAAACCCTGTACAAATAGGTCTTTTGGACATCGATGCCAGTTTACCCTCCCTTGTGACGATCATTCGGGTGTGTGTACTCTTGTTTAGTTTAATGCGAGAGGGTAACCTCTATTACCACAGCAGAAGCATATAGTTGGTGCAACGTGGGGAGTGCGATTTTTTCGGCGGGGATACAAGACGCCAATACGGCTCGGTGTATTTCCAGGTCTGGGCAAGAAGGCCACAACATTGGTTAGGGGGAGCGTTTTTCGCACTAGAGAGGGGGTGCGCCGCACAACGAGAAGTCAGTAGCGTGGCGCGTAAGCCAACAAGATTGGATGGTGGCAGAGTGTTTTGTTGACCCATGTTGTTGGGCAAAATGCGCATCATACGTTTCTTCGTGTAGGGAACACCGGACTCGGATGATGGGCGTAACACCGTCGAACGTGTATGCAACGTACGTAGACAAGGTAGAGATGTAGTGTTCGCTGTGAGGTCGACGTCGGGTGTGCGCGGGTGCGCGTCGGATGCACACAGACAGTTTTTCTTTGAAGATGACAGCAACGGAGAGCTGGAAAATTATTTTCTTCTCAGCGAATTTGTACCGAGAAAACAAAAAGACGTGTTATAGGTTGAATCTCTACAGGACTGCGTGTCAATACTGTCCGGAGTACGGTTGTCCGTGGAGTTTTTCTAAAGCATGCTTTTACGACTGCTGCTGCCCTAGTATCAAGTTCGCAAAATGATACAAGCAGCATCTTTTGGATGGCCATGTTTGGAGCAAAAAGCCCATCGTGGACCGCAGGGCGCCAGGATACGTCCTTGAAGAGAACGGCGCGCGATCGCGGAAGAAAGCGGCGCTTTTAGTATCGAACACGCGCCCTCATGCCATCAAGAAAAACGCGTTTCGTTCGAGACACCTCTCGATTCGACGATCTTAGAGCAAGTGCAACAAACTGCTCTAGCGGCTATGAACTTGAGGTTATCCCAGATGCTATATCACGTCGTCGCATCGTACAGCCGGGTATCGCGAGCAGGGGAAACGGTTCCACCATTGTCAAATAGAATTTTAAATCTCGAACCGTCAATGCGATGGCGTCACAACACGCACGAATGTTCTTGAGACCGTAGCCGAATACGAGCAAACACACCCAGCCAGGGATCCACCCCCCCCCGCCCCCAAAAAGTCACCCGAAGTGATAATCAGATTCGTCGGCATTTACTATGAACAAGGCCCAAAAGAGCGCGCACGGTGATTCGAATTATGTACGTGTACCGCACAACACACACCCAGAGCCAAACGAAGAAGTTGTCAAAGTGAAAGTCATTACCGCACTTAAGCGTCACCTCCTCTATTGCATTCCTCACTGAACAAAAATTGCTCCCACCCGGTAGTACCAGCTACCGCCGTTATTCGCTTGGAGCAACACAAGCCGCAACGACCACACCGACACTCTCCTCCCCGCTCAAATGAGACCTCGTCTTGGCGACATCTCTTTTTCTTTACAGGGCCCATGATGGACGGTCCGTTGAGAACACGACCGTTCTACCTTGCCATTCGAACTCTATTCGCGCAGCCTGCAGCGCGATCGCCTCCGGCTCCTGCCCAAACCTAGACGTGTCGTCGTCTACCCTCAACCCCCGGTGCACGCGCCCCACGACGCCGCGATATCGAGTATCGCCCACGATGGCCGACCCCATCGCCGCCAGCTGCAACCGCAGCTGGTGCGTCCGACCCGTCTCGAGCTCCATGGCGCAGAGGTGGGGGGCATGGTCCCCTTCTTCCCGTGCTGCTTCTGCCGCCGTGGTTGCTTCCGCATCGGGAGCGGTGCTTCCGTCCTCCTCCTCTCGTCCCTCTCCTCCTCGCGCCGCCGCCTCAATTTCTTCCGGCGAAGACCCCGAACCAAGCCCCAACCCCGCCGCCAGCTCTGCCTCCAGTCTCGCCGCCGCGCCGGCCGCCGATTCTTCCAGGGCTCTCGCGGCTGCCTCCGCCCGCTCGCGGTCCTCCGCCACCGCGACGGCGCTCGCCGAGCCGGTGGCGGGGGCGCAGAGCAGGACCGTCGACCTCGCCTCTTGCCACGCGCCCCCCCACTTGTCGCCCGCGAGAAGCTCCTCGTCGAAGTCGGCGTATATCCTCGGCCGGCGAGACCCGTCGAAGGCCTTGGAACGGCAGCAGTGGGCCATCGAACCCGTCGGAACGGCCGGGCCCGGGGTGAGGAGGGCCAGGTACCGCTTCTTGACCCGCCTGGCGCGGAACAGCTCGTTCAGCTGCTTCGCGGCCTCCTTGTGCCTCGCGAAGACGACGATCCCTGACGTGCAGACGTCCAGCCGCGACACCGCGTGCAGAGGCGGGGGTAGAGACCGCGACCCGGGGGGCATGCCCGCGACCGCCAGGCTTGCCTGGAACACGCAATTCTGCACGCCGTTGTCGATGGTCGGGACCGTCGGCACCCCCGCGGGCTTGTCGACGACCACGAAGTCTTCGTTCTTGTGCACGATCCGCTTGCTCCAGTCCATGACCTGCGACGCCGGGAAAGTCCGGGGGTCGCAGTGCACCCGGAGATAAGCACCGTGGGGCGGGAAGTTGCCGCTCTCCCAGGGGTGCAGACGCCGCAGCCTCATGTGCTCGAACGAAGTACCGCGAAATGGCGCCTGGTCGGCAGACTTCAGAGCCTTTTTCCTCGCGGCTGCGATCGTCATCTGCTTCTCCTTGCTGGGCGGGTGTCTCCAGTTGGTGTCGACCACCTCGCCGATGTAGACGCTGCCAAACTTGACCAGCTCTACCCCACGTTCTCGACTGACAGCGCCGAAGTGAGAGACGAGCTCAGCTATCGTAGCCCGCTGCTCCTCCCCCTGTTCCTCGTCCTCTAGCCAGGGCGGAGGCGCACCCGGCGTCGCGATGTGGACTACTCGATGTTCTCCTTGGTAAGTCGTCTCTGCCGAGCATCCTTCGGCTATTCCTGTCACTGCCGCACTGCTGCTGGCGATGGTAATCGCATCGTGCTGGTGATATGTCATCATCGTGCTGCTGGGAACAACGCCGGCAGTTGGTGACGCAGGCGGCAGATGATTAACGCTCCTGCCTGCTGCTGCTGATCGACGACCGACCTCAACCCGAACCCCGACGAAAGCCCGGCTCGGGCACCAGGAATTTGCAGCAGCAGCCGTAAGCAGCAGTCCCTTTAGCATGATGATCCAGGCGCTGTGTAGGCGCAGTTGAACCGCAACTGGACGCAGACAGCGACCGGTTTGCACTTCGTCGCGTGCGCCGCAAAATCACCAAGTTCTGTGAGGAGAATCAGTGAAAATGACCTGTGTAGCAGACCGAAAGTCCGTCCGGGAGGAAGCTGGAATGGGAGAGCGAGAGAGAGGGAGAGAGGCGAGCGAGAGCTTCTCGAGGGTGTTCTGAGGACAGCTGCTCCATGGCTCGGGGGGGGGCACCGCACAACAGCAGGATCTACCAAACACATACCCTACCACAGGGCGCCAAAACCCCCCGCATGCCACCGACTCTCACATTGCACCATGGCACTGCTCATGTCACATGTCACGTTGCTCTGCTGCACCGACTTATCCACGACGAGAGTGAGAGCGGCATACCCAGAGGTGTGCCGGCGAGGTGCACAGGAAAAACAAGGAACAGTCGCTCAAAGCTTCGCTATGCACGGGCAATGCGGACTCGCTATCGTTGCGGCAGCAACGCTGGTGACCGCGGGGACGGGTATCCGTACGGCGGCTGCTGCTGCTGCTGGAGATGGTCCGGTGCCTCGGCCGCGTGGTGGCCCTATCCAAGGACCCCAGGCGTCTTCACGGCCATCGCCGAAACCACCAACGTGGGCGGGCACGTGGACAGAAGGCCCATTTCCCGACGACGGCCGAGGTACCAAGCCGCCATTACGGACGCCATCCGAACACCTGGAAGCAACAGAATTCTCGTGGAAGCCAGATGGCAGAACCGGCAGGATGGGAGGCAGCATAGGCGTGAGCAGAGCCAGGAGGGTGCGAAGAAGGGGCTTCATCGGACCGAAAGCGGTAGAGCGAGGTGATACTCGCCCCAGCGGCGGCTCCAGGAGCGGCACTGGCAGCGTGATGGCAGCGAAGAAGATCAGAGGAGGAGGAGGAGAAGGAGGAGGAGGAGCTGGGGTAAGACGGTGGTTCGGGGGGCGCGGCAGCGACGACAACCGGTATGACGAGTTCCCCGACGACTTCGACTACGGCTCGGCAGCCGACGACGATGAGGACGAGAACAACAGCAGCAACGCGGGGGACGGCAGCAGCGCCTTGTTCTGCTGGCCTGAGGACGAGGAAGGAGCCGCAGCGCTTCTGCCACAGGAAGGGGAGGACTCGATATCGGAGCTGGATTTGAAAGACGGTATCTCGTTGGCAGCGGAGAGTTCGCCCTTCCAACAGCAGCAGGAGCAAGGCACCGGCAGCGGCAGCACTAGCAGCAGTAGCAGACCGGATCGAACGCGCGTGTCGGGGGTTGGGTTCCGAAAGAGCCGGGCGGGGGGAGAGGAGAGGCGTGCTGCTACAGCGTCGGGGCCGTCTCTAGGGGGTAGGACTGCTGCTGCTGCTGCTGGTGGTTCACCAGCGCTGGAGAGGTGAGCGTGCATGCATGGGTGTGTACAGGCATGCGCTCAACGCCAAGAGGGACCCCTCCTGGTGTCTCTGCATGCCGCTTCCGCTGAAAATGGTGCTTTTGAGCCTGGAAGCTTTTGTCATGTGACGCGCGCATGCGGGGAGGGGCTTCCGTGGGGTTGTTCCTTAGCAACGCTGTTCCCGTGGACTCCTGGGGGCCGGTAGCCGTTTTGTTCCGCCAGACACCGCTGCTGTGTAGGAACGTCTGTCATGTAGGGACGCGCGGTCGATGGACATAAGTTGCCCTCGCTTTCGAGTCGAAGTCAATCCATGATACCATGTCCATATCTCAAGCGTTACTTTTCACTCGTGTCACTCCAATCGTTAGTGCTCCGCTGATTGTGGGATCAATAACCGAGTCGCACTCTGTCATCCTGTGACCACGGGAATCGACCGCGTCAAGTGTTGGACTAGTACGGACAGATGAAGGTACTGGGTAGATAGATCGGAAGGTTTTTAATTTGAAGACAACAACTCTGTCGAAAGGCCGCAACCACTCCGTGGCGAGTGTATTCTTCTTTGGCCCTCACGCAGTACACGGACAACGCGATTTTTTTGAGACCTACAACGCCGTTACTACAGTGTCACGCCGAATGTAGGCATCACCCACACGTCTTCAGTGAATGCAACCTCCTGCCCACCATACCTCAACACAACCCCCCTTATCCCTATCCCTCCCCCCCAAAACTTTTTGCGTTGTTCCCTACCACTCTCTACAGCAGTGCCGCCGGCAGCGCTCCGCTCCGGTTATTGACAAACCCCGCCGAAGACGAATTCATGCCTCCCTCTGCGGAAACTCCCGCCGCGAGAGGCGAGCTAGAGGCCGTGGCCCCCGACGACGGAGATGAGCCACGTCCAGGCGAGCGTCGGCAGCACCACCGCTCCGTGCTTGGCGCTGTAGTCAGCGCGTTGGCGGGTGCCCTGGGGTTGAAGCTTTGGGAAGGGTTGGCGCGAGGCGACGCTAGCGCGGCGGCGGCGGCGGCCGCCGCCGCCGAGGTTGAAGGAGGGGTGAGCAGGGGCGGGGTAGAGGAGGAGGAGGAGGAGGCGGTGGCGGCGGCGGTGATGGAGGAAGAAGCTGCGTTGCAGCAGGAGAAGATCCTGGCGCTAGAGAACCAGTTGGCGGTGAGGAGAGACAAGGGGTGGTGTTGGTGGTTGTTTTGTTACTATTGTTCGTAAGTGTTGGGTTGGCGGAGGAGTCTCTTTTGGAATATTTTGGCCTTGGAACGTACGCGCGAACACCGACAAGGCGATGGTGAGAAGGGGTGCAGTGTTTTGGCTGCGACTGATGCCTGCGCGCGTTCTCCAAGTTCGTTGACTTCTCGCTCAGAAGGCTGCAGGTTTTGCTAAATTGGTGTGATGCATTCGTGTCCTCTCGCCGCAGTACCTGGAAGAAGACCGGCGGAGGGCGGCGTTGTCGGCGAAGGAGGCGAGGTCGAACAGGCGGAAGGACGATCGACAACTCAAGGAGTACGTCCATACGCTAGAGGTTCACCTCGATCAGGTACAGCAGTGTACTCTCATTGTGGAATCGTGGGTGTTGGTATGCTCGATGCCAGTTGCAAGTGGCAGTACTGCTGTTTCGTGATGGGAAGAACACAAGCACCTACGGATTCTTACAGTACGTATGGCCGGCATTGAGTACACCAGCACGCTTCTTGAGCAGGCCGGCCCCTGTATGATGAATGCATGCACTATTCTCAAGGGCCTAGGCTGCTACTGTATACATGCGATCGATCGCTCGTACCCCCAACATAGACCAATTTCGAAGCGCGAGCGCTCCATAACCAAGGGGTACGAGAACTGGCCTATACGTGCAAAGAACGGCTGTAGGCGGGGTCTTTCAGCACAGACCCATCCGGCATTGGCACCCTCGTGGGTGGGGAGTAATCTAGCTGTTAAGTTCATTCTAGAAGGTTTGTCATCACTCCCACTCTTACGGTAGGCTAGAATGCGACGACGTGCTGTACAGGTCGCAAAGTCACCGTGGATCGTTTTATGTTTGGCAAATATTTTTTGATGCTGGCTACGTGTTTGGTCATGAACTGATACAAGAAAGAACAAGGTAGAAACAACACCAGCAGCACCACCACCAACAACAACTGGAGGTGACGGCACGTGCTCACCCCATGCTTCGGCCACAACAGCAACAACATCATCATCACCACAAACAATTCAAGCAGCGACAACTAGGGATGACGACGTTCTCTTGCCTCACGACACCGTCTCCTCTCCTCCCCCCCCTGCTCCTCGACCTTGCCCTCCTCCTCCGCCTCCTTCTCGTCATACTCTGGATGGGTGCTTGTCGTTTCACTAAAAACTGCAGCTTTCCAAGGAGAAGCAGGAGTCCGAGACGGCGATGCTAGAGGCCGTAAGGGCCGAAACTACGAAGGCTCTGAAGCAGGTGAGGTTTCGTCGTTGTCGCTGTAGACGACTCTTGATTTTCGTAACGCATAGATTTGTTGAGAGATTGGAGAGAAGTTTCGTCATATTCTACACGGGGTCTTCTTTTTTTTTTTTGCTCAGCGTGACGTAGTTTGGTAGCGAGTGATCGGCGGCGGGTGTTGGCGTGTTTCTCTCAGGGGGGGGAGGAGTTTTCGCAATGACGGCCATAACCCCTCACGCGCGCCCAACGAACTCGCTCGCTTGCCGATGCACAACGACCAACCACCCGTGACTCCCTACCGACCGATCATCGCAGGGGAGCCACGCCACGGCGGCTGCCGCGGCGGCAGCGGATGAGGAGGTGCGGCAGGCGAGGGCGGAGCTCGAGGCTGCGCAGGCGTTGCTAGAAGAGGCCCTGAAGGAGAAGGCGGTGGCGGTACAGGAGAAGGCCGCCGGAGACGCGCTCTTGAGGACCGAGCAGGGGAAAAGAGGTGAGTACAGCAGTAGGGTCCTTGGTCTCTTGTTGCTCCCACTACTGCTGCTGCTGCTGCTGCTGCTGCTGCTTCGCTTTGTTGCGTGATGCGGCCCCCTCTCGCTTGTTGAACGGTTTGGGTTCGGGGTGTTTTCGAAGTCACGTGGGGTTCGAGAGGCAGGAGATGTCGTCGTCAACCTTCCGTTTTTTGTTGTTATTGTTATTGTTGTTGTTGTTGGTGGTGGTGGTGGTGGTGGTGGCGGTGGTGCGTCCCACCTGGGGAATTCTATATTACGGCGATTCGGCCACAATCACTGTAAGTATTGCCGCGGCTCCGCCGCTATTATGTCCACGAGACTGGGAGGTTGTTGTCAGAGTTTTTTTTAGGCAAGCAAGTACTTGTTGTCTATGGGGCGGACCCACGTGAACACATGGGTATGGCTTATATATATTCGTCGATCGCCGTGCCGCATTGTGCAAGGACAGATGTGGCCACCGGCGATGCAAATACGTTTTCTGGTTATTAACAAGCTAAACGACCGCGGGCCTTGCCCAAGAGCCCAAGCGCGCGGTCTCTTCGTTGTGCTTGAGACTGTTGCTGCTGCTGTGCTGGAACGACACCTTGTGCCTTAGAGCTGTTGAGATCATGAGAAGGACGCGCGAGTTAGTGGTCGTGTTCCCAACCAGCACGGCTGTGGTGGCAGTGGTTGTCGGATGCACCCACACCTGGGTCGTTTTTTTTCAATGTATTTTTGGGTGTGCGCGTGTCGAGGGAAAATGAAGAATAAAGGTGGGAAGCCGCATCAAACCTTTTTTGCCTACGACCAGACGTGCAGCGTTTGCGTGAGAAAACAACGAACAGTCGCGAGGGGGGGAGGGGATGAGACGCGGAAAGAAATTCCCTGTAGGTCGACTATCGTTGCGGTATGTCGTTATTTATTGAAGACAACTAGTACAATATTTTCTAACTTGCGATGACAGCCAGTGGGAAACGCTTCCCATCGTTGAATAGTTCCACTTCCTGTTTCCGGCGAAAGCAAGCGAATTGCGAAACCGTTTTCCACAAACAAACCGCACACCACCTTGACGCAACAAAACAAACGAACGCTTGTTCGTCCAATCACCCCCCATGACCCAAACTCCCAGCCGCGTTGGAGAAGGAGGTAGAGAGGCTGAAGGAGTCTACGGCCACGCTCACGCAGCGTCTGCTGGACGCGGTGGCTAAGGCCGAGCGTGCGGACGAGGAAGAGAGAGACGCGGCCACGGCGAAGGCTGTGGCGGAGCGGGAGGAGATCGAGGCGGCGATGGCGGCGGCGAGAGAGGAGGAGACGGCGCGGTGTCGAGAAGAGTTCTATTCTGCTCTCGCAGAGGTGTGTGGGCGGTGTTGCTACTACTACCTTAAGACCAACAATGTAGCGGGAGATATGGATATGTCTGGGGTTCTTTTGGTTGGTGTCGGCCCGACACTTGACCAGCCGACCAAAGGCGAAAGTATGTTAGTCTGAGTAGCGCAAAGAGCGAGTACGGACAAGCCTCTGGTATGGGAAAGTATTGACAAGAGACAGTTTTCACTCCCGATGTATCGCGTACTACTCTGCTCCATGTTTGCCCCGTACGGAGTTTGCGTGTGTCTTTTACTGGCGTGATCGACGGCTTACACGGCCGTGCGTTGTTGGTGAATTCCTCCCCGTTCTCTGCATGGGCTGCTCCTTGGTCGTGTGGGCTGAGTACTGTAGATGATGCGGAAAAACGCCTTGCGGCCTGTCTATATGTGTGCCCATTTGAATCAATGGCTTCGTTGTTGCGAGGGTTTTTTGAGTGGCGGTGGTGGTGCTGGAGGAGGAAATGCGAGTTGTTTTCATGAGCCAACCTAGACATGTGGTTGCCACCAAAGGTGGTGTAAGATTTAAGATGTAGATATCTCGATCGAGTCTCTCAGTGGTGAGTGAGGTCAATCAATCGCAGGCAAGACACGTATGTCTCTCCAGGACGCGGTTGGACCCCCCCTCCCGCCTATCCCCCCATGCCCCCTTCCGCCCTTTCGATGAAAAGCACGGCTTGCGTGAAATCACGTTCGCGGTCTTGTACGTTGATCAATTGTTGTTGGCGTTGCAAAACCAGTACCCACGACTTCGCTCACGCCCCCCAAATCCGACCTTCCTTTCTCAGGAAAAGGAGAAGCTCCGCAAGCAGATGGAGGTTCGCCTTGCGACCATGCGAGCGGGGCTGAAGCGTCGCCTTCAGGAGGCGCGGTCAGAGCGCCGCGGGACTACCGGTTCCGTTTCGGGAAGGCCAATGAGCGGCGGAATAACCGCTGGTGGCACCGCATCGGAACGACCAACAAGCGGCCGCACCACCGGCAGTGGCAACGGCAGCGGCAGCAGCCCGCCGGAATAATCCCGGCATGCTGTAAATATTTGTGGCGTTCTCTTGCTGCGGTTTTCTGTGACCGTTACACCCGGCCCCTTTCCGGAGGGTTTGCTCCGGGGCTACAGTGTCGGCGGGTGGAGGCGACCGTGCTTTGTTGAGGCTGCCCACCGCAGTTAATACCCTTGTGCGAGTTCCGTTGGCCCTGAGGGTCGGGAGCTGCCGTGGCGCGTTTTACGAAGAAGGTGGACGGGAAAGGGCGAGGCAGGGAGGGAGAAGGAGGCAAGACCGTCAGCGGTACAATCGTTGTCGTGCACGTACATGCGGCGCAGCGAACCGGTTTTTTGTGTGGCGAAGCTTGCCTTTGGTGTTCTATTGCCGTTGGTGCTGCATTCATAGACAGGTCGAGGTTTCTTCATGCTTGCTGAAAATGTCACCGCGATAGCTCTAGACAGCGCCAGGATCTTTAGAGAGCGAAGAAGAAGGTCGAACGGGGAAAGCTAGCGGGAGTCAAGGCCTTTACTATTTACGACGTGTACGAATTATTTCTTTACGAGCCAGGCGGTCTGTCTGTGTGTTTCGTATTGGTGGTGGAGTTGTGTGGGGCATGGTGTGGAGAGAGTTTTCTGTTTCGTGTATGTATGTAAAACGGTAAAGCATAAAGACCACGGTGTTGCGTCGAAGAGGAATAGAAAGGTGTTTTTGCGTGTGTGTGCAACGGAGGAGGTATGCACGCGATTCGTTTGTCAGTAGGCAACAGATCAAGTGTTGAACTTTTGAAGGCGCTTTCATCGAACTTGTTAAGAAAAAAAAATCTCGAGGAGCGTACAGCTTCCCGAGGGCGGGCGCACCGCCACCCGATGCAACCGCTCGCTTCAAAGCTGGTATCGTACTTACTCCACACACGAAACGACGTACTTGCAAGATGAGAGCCATCTTCGATTGGCCGCGGCGAGCTTCGTGAACGTTGGAGGGGCGTGCACACTGAAATACGGAGGGGGTGGTTTCCACCAACACCATTTCTTCGTCGGGTTGATTCGCTCGCGTTACGAAGAGTAACTAGCGTCGGTGACATGACAGAAGATACCATACACACCTGGAGGGGAGCGAATTTCAAGCCCGATTACTCTACGACGGAGAGGATGCCTTAACCCGAAGACTCGTTTTCGGAAAGTGCCCTCCAGACGAGACGGTCCCAACGCCGCGATTTTTGCCACCATCACCGTTATTGCTGCAGCGTACCGAAGCTTTGAAAATCGGTCCAGGGGGTGTGGTGTCTTATGAAACCTACGGCATTCAGTTCCCTGGCCCAGGATGGCATACCCGTACCCCCCTCCCCCCCCCCATCCCCCGCCTCCCGCTCCTCTGACGAACACGCCGTTCGTTGGGAGCCCTCGGAAAAATGCAACCCATCCCTGTCGCAAGAAGCTAATAGCTCACCTGCAACAAGGCATTCTTGCTTTGCTGGACTTGGCAGCGCGCTTTATTGACATCTCGATGATCGTCCCGACCCCATCTAACTATTACCTCTTCCTCTCCCACTCTTGGAGGGTAAGAAATTACATGCTTCCCGTCGCCCGGAAAGCATTACATCACCAAGCAAAAACGGTTCAAGGCAGAAGAACGGAAAAAAAAGGTATTTTTTCGCGAAAAAAACAATTTCAATGATAACAGCTCACGTTCTGATATGACCCTAGCAAAACTTAAGTCAACACACGCAAAGGCTCGCTCGAAACGCGAGATTCAATTCAGGGGGGGGTTCAATACCGTTCTTTCATTCACCACAGCAACATCACAAGTGCGGGAGAGACTATTGAAACTACAAGAGCACCCGCCGCATGACAAAGCCGGTAGTTCTGCAGGAGATATTGGTCCGTGTGCCGCCGAACTCGATAAACTTGTTCGTAGAATCAATTGAAACCCCGTCGAGTCGTGTCGAACGCGGGTGTATACCCACAAAGGACAGAAGGAGAAAACTAGCATACGATCGTTCTCCCAACCCCTTTCGAGCACGGAATATCAAAATAACTATTCCCCGCGTACAGTAGGATACCAGATCTCTCTATGACATGTACTGCATAAACATCACACGAACGGCACAAGCGACAACAGCACACACACCTCGTCGCACGCACAACGGCAACAAAACAACACTTCCAAAACACACCAATCGCCGCACACGGTCTTGACATTTGAAAACGGCGTAGGACGCGCTCGCTGGTATCTATGCAAGTACAGACTGCTGTGCGGCTCTCAGACCGACAACAAACACAAGCAATGAAGGTGCTTGTGCCCTAGCGAGTACAACGTCGTCCCACACGCTGGTACGACCACACATGGCCACAACAGTACCGTGGGCTACGCAGAAATGGCCCCATACCGGCAAAGCAGCCCAGCCACTCACAACGCCCAGTTCAACTCGTAGTGGATCTGGGTTTCCTGCCTTCATATACTACCCCCCCCCACGCTCTCTCTCTCTTTCTTGGCCTCTTCACATAAGTCGCCCTTCGCCACAACCGCACGACGCCTTCGAAAGAACTGGCAACTCTCACCAAGAAGAACTTGGGTCTAAAGGCGCTGCATCTTGGGACTAAAAGATACAAGTACAGCTTTTCGGTCAAACGACGCACCACAAAACGTAAGTTGTCAAAACTCAAGGGTGATCGTCTCAAAAAACTCAGGCAATTTACTTTTGGACAAGTATGTTGGACTCGAGACGCAAATATTTTCATCTAGGTGCCACGGTTCAACTTCGACTGGGTTCCCAACTCTGAGCACGGAACACACACACTAGGAATGCGTTCGCGTTTTTTATCCCGCTACCCTACTAATTATTTCCAAAAAGACAAACGCCTTTTCATAAGACTGACGTCTTTTCGTCGGCAGCCGGATAGCGCGATCGATGCTGACAAGAAACACACACAAAAACGCAAAAACACACACACGCAACAGCCTAGCCCCCGCCGTGGTCCCCCTCACGGGTCCCAGATCATGGGTTCTAGCAGCGTTATCCGTTAGGACCCGCTCTGAGACTGACGTCATTTCCATCGGTCAGCCGATTAGCGCGCCCGACGCTGAAAATAAAGACACCGTAACAAAACCGCACATGGAGATACTCTCTCCACGCGCCACCCGTTGCCATAAACGTGTATGCCTGCCACCACGGTACACGCCTCTCGCCATCGTACGTGCACAGCTGCTGCACGTTTGCGACAAAACAAAAAAAAGGGGGGCAAAGCGACACAAAACAAACGGTCTCCAAAACACACAACTTCAGGTGAGAGTTGTGTCGTTCGGCCTCAGTCGAATCAACGAAACCAAACCCTAACTATTGTACAAAGGGTGTCACGATACCGTTCAAACAGCTCCCTGCGTTACGTTACCACTTGCACCACTTCGCCAACAGACCAAAACCTGCTTGGATCCGTCTCCACCACCGACACCAGGTTTTGTCGCTAGATCACACACTTTCCCGGTTCGGCTTGACGCCCCGCTAGCTATCACGGGACCGTGCCGTCGCCGTTGCCGCCGTTGCGGCCTTCGCCGCCATCAAACTAGGCCTCGTGGGCCCTGCGTGCGGCGCTCTGACCAAACTCAAACATGTCGCCCTGGCCGTGCCCACTTCGGCTTCAGACACAACCGCGCGCCGCCGCAACCACAAAGACGGCAGCCACTATCGTCTCTCTATTCCGCTCTCTTTCCTGCTCCAACCGCTACAGCAACAAATACACAAACTCTACGGTCGGTACGGGTTGCCGGGCTACGACTTGTTACGGCTTGCCACCACCCGCATCGCCGCCCTTGAGGTAGCTCTCCGCGTGGAAAGGCGGCGCGCCTTTCAAGCCAAGCCGCCCGCCTTCCAACGCGTCCTCCGAGATGTGCTGCAGCAGCAACTCTCGCTGCTGTTGCTCTGTCCCGGACACTACCACGACTTTCTCGCGGGTGACCTGTTTGAGTTGTTGTGACGAAGCAGGTGGCGGGAAGGAGAGGGAGGCTTCCGTGGTTGGTCACTGCTCTTGCTGATGCCTCGACTGGTATGTACAAAGACAAAGTCGCCAACGTCGTAAATAAAATCAAGAGCGTGATGGGCTCAGAATACTTCGATGGAAAAAACGAGACAAACGTCGTCGCGTTCTGAGTACCACGTTGACGGCCGTTGCGGTAGGTGCGTCATGACATGTCCACGGTACAGCAGTAACCAGGACACCGCCATGTCAGTGGCCAGCCGCGTAATGTCTTCACCGTGCTAACAATAGCCGCAGCAGTAGTAAAAAGAATCCAGCGAGCTCTCCTTTGCAGGGGACGGCATTCTTGAAGATCGAAACTCGGGGACACAATAACTCGAAAAACCTACAGCGCACTACATGTACTGCCACGCTTTTCACGAAACCATGCCTTCTGTGGATCCCCCCCGTACGCACCGGCGAGAGCAGAAGCGAAACGGCCCGCCACAGGTAGTAGACCATATTGCCCGCGTTCACGATGAACAGGTTGCCCAGTCGTGAAGGGTATCGGAGCATCAGCATCGACACGGCCTCCCTCACGAAGGCGAGGGAAGGTAGCTGCCCATCGCCGCCGGTCGCAGTGCAGTCGATCTGAAGAGAGAGGCCACACGCATGTGTCACACGCACCGGGCGGAGGGTGTGTGTAGCATTATTTATCGGTCAGCGTCTTTGAGTACCGGACCGGCGGGCGGACGGGCGATCGTTTCGAAGCTCAAGCGTCCGTCCGGCTCGAACGATAAAAAGAAAACATTGTTTCCCGCTGGTAAGGTCACATTTTACACACTGCTGTCGAACCCCTGAAGCGTCGACAATTTCCGTTGCGATTTGTCGTCCGAAGAATCGAGGCTTCCCCTGGCATTTTACGCAGCATAAATATGACGAGTCCACTGCCGTAGCTTGCAAACAAGAAGCGTGGCCACCTCGCTGTGTTATCTTTTGAGAGCAAGCGGTACTACTGGCTTGAGCAAAAAAGGCATCTCTCGTGAGCTTTCCCCTCTCGTCTCAAACGCTACAGCAGCAAAGGGCAAGCAAGAAGCTTACCACAACGCAGAACTGTCCCTTGCTAGCACCCGTGGACGTTTCCGGCTCCATGCTGGCGATCGCTCGCTCCTGATTCGGGTCGCGTCGAGACGGAAAAAAAAAAACAGGCGGCGTGTTGGCGCTGACACCAGAATCGGAAAAAAAAACGTGCCACCGTTGTGGTATTTTCTCGAGTACAATATTTCATTCTGTGATTGGGTGTACAAGCATAAATTGAAAGAGCACAGCAGTGAGGGTCCATCGAAAAGACCAGAACCCACTGCGACACAGTATCCGGTTTGTGGAAAACACGTGCTGTTACTTCAACATTGCGAACCAGAAGAAAAGAGGATTTCATCTGAGTGGATTAGCTGATGTCAGCAACCGGTTGCATGTTTATTTATTTTTTATTTCATCAGTATGACCCAACGTGCTTCCGATGTTAACCCCTTTGGGTCTAGGCTGGACTGTCAGATTTTTTTTTTTGCGCCAAAAAAACAAATTAGAGCGAGAGCGAGCGGGAGAGAGAGAAGTGCAGAGAAAGACACCAGTGTACTTCTGCACACGCAACAGCTATCTCCAACTGTAGGCCACGAGAGAAGCCGGCGACAGGGTGGTGGCCACAGACAGGGTCGTAGAAGGGTTGATGGGTGGTCGCGCTGCGGTCAGTAGGGCAGGTTAGCTGTGTAGACTTTGAAATGATCAGTCGTCTAGCTGCCTCAACTAGTCTATTTTCGGTATATTGTAAATGATCAGTCCAGAGAGGGCAAAATGATCAGTGAGGACCCATAGCTGGTGTTTGTACTTCTGTACTTCTCTGTTCTCTGTCCCCCCCCCGAAATGTGCCCTGCCAGCTCTCTAGAGCTCCTGTGTTTTTCAAACAACATGCACATCCACCTGCACACACTTGTACCTCGTGGTTTCCTAGGTTCGGGCGAGGGTGGTATGTGTGGTGCTACGAGTGTGGATGTGTTGCTGATATGTTTTACTCGTCTACAGCAGTAGTAGTGGTGTTGTAGCGTTCATTGTAGCTGCTGACACAATGACTGCTGGGTCTTGGGAACGATTTTCAAATTGTTGGGAACCACGATATCCTCGATATCTGGGCTTCGGCAGGGATTGCAATAATACCCCTCCCTTTTGCTGCCCTCTGCTCTTTGCAGCAGCAGTGGCTTCCTACGTTCGGGCGAGTGTATGTGTGGTGCTGCGAAAGAACACATATGTATGTATGTATGTATGTATGCACACACGCGTTCATTGACATGTGCATACGTTGAGAGATTCATGATTTGTCATTGATTGGCCCCATTCCCATTCCCGAGACCTTGATATTACCCGCCGCTGTCACTGAAGTCTCTTCATTGGTCAGCCGGTTGGCGCGGGTCCTAATAATCTAGACACACCTACCTATGGACTTGCCAATACACGGCGCGAAGGGCTGCAGGGCGGCAACTCCACGACTTGCCACTACACCAGCATTTGCAAATGATCAATCAATGATCAGTGAGAACGCCTGAAGACTCAAAAGGGTTAATCCTCTTGACCTACGGCAACGGTACGTATGTGGCTTCTCCTTGAGCTCGGAAACCCCTTTTCACTAACTGCGGTCGAAACTAGGACTGTCAAGTCCATTCACGAACTGCGCGATGACAAGACGGCTGCGAGCGGGCCACAGACAAGAGGCAAGACAAGACAGACTTGGCGGCAACAGAGAGTCTGCGAACGTTTGATACGCAAAGGATCGCGTGACCCGAGTTCACGGAGCGAATATATAGATATAGATAGGACGCCAGGACGACCTCGAGAGTTGCAAATGGAACGCGCACGCGCACGCCTTCAACAGTAGAGTTGCATGTAGAAGAAGATCGACGAAGTGAGAAGAGAACACGTGTATGTCCCCAGAAATGTTCATCAAATGCTGTTCCCGTCTTTTGCGTACGTATCTCCAGTACAGCAGTCGTTTTCTTGTCACCATGGAGCTCCGGACATGTCCCGTTAAATCACCGCCGCGGACGCTCCCTATCTATGCTTGACTTGGCGACGGGGGCTGACTAGCGGCACAATCCCCCGCGTGCAGGCTTTCGTGACCCGGCCACCAACGGCATTTTGGTGTTCTTACTCTTGTCGGTGCTCTCTGAGAGCAGTGAGGGATACATACAATGATGCTGCTGCGAAGCTGCAAACAACCTTTCAATCGAGATCTCGCTACAGCAGTACTTGCGTGCACTGCTTGCATAACAGATCGGAGGAAATTCAACTCACCACAGTGTAGACCAAGAAGCGAAGGCTGGCTTCTGGGCCGGATGCGCCGTCCTCCCACCCGGCATGAACCCAGATCAGTGGCCGGCCCAACAGAGAGGTGCCTCGGACGAACAGCTTCCCCGAGGAAGCTTCGTCGACGAAAGTGTGAGCTCGATCCAGCACCGTGTCCACACCGCCGTCTTGCCTCCACGCCAATGTCTCGAGAAAAAACTCGCTAACTCGCTTCCCTCGGACCGGCTCGAGCCTCCACTGCGCTCCCTCCAGGTAGCGCCAAACGGCCGTCCTCCCGCCGTTGGCTACGGCGGCGCCTGAGCAGAGCGGACTGGCTTGAACTTCTGCGATGGTTGTCTCCAGCATCGACGCCTGCTCGGGTGTAAGGGATGGCGGTGGAGATTCACATTCCCAACTCCACCTCGAAGTAGAGGGTTGCTGTACCACTGATGCTTCCATTTCTTTCACTCCCATGGCGAGGGAAGGTCCACGAGATGTGGGTGGAGGTGTGTCTGGAAGGCGGGCGAAGGAATACTGCGCCGCTCTGCTAGCCTCGGCGTCCGGCAGATTTCAACGAGTTTCCACCGCTATTTGTCCGCGAGTGCCGAGAAGACCCAACCGCTGTATTTCCGTCTTGTCAGCTGTATGGTGAGCGAGCTTCGAGCTGATGTGAGCGCGCCCAACAGTGTTCGCAACCAGAAACCTGGCGACACTGTTCGTTGTTCGCCAACTCTTTGGAACGTCGACCCTCGCAAGGCGTGTAATCGTATTATCCCGTGATGCCCGTGATGAACTCGAGGACTCGAGGTGCGTGCTGCGTGCGGCGCAACTATGCATGTACCAGATCTACCAGATCTACCAAACGGTCCTCACAACCAGAGGCGTTCAGGTTCATTTACTGCGAGAGACAGGTTCCGACGAAAAAAAAAAGAAGCCAAATGACTCACACGTCACACCTCACGCACCCCCGGGCTGTGCCAAATTCGAAGCCGGTAACCTCGACCCCGTGGCAGACTTCGCCACAAACTCTCGCTGTGGATCCACTCTGCTTTCCACCAGTGCCTCATTCCACACAGCTGCAGTAAGTTTTTTTTATTTTGGGGAGTGTTGGCGGGTCGCCGGCGTGACAGTTTTTTTTTCCGCCACAAGCCCCAAATCCAACAAGGCAGTTTCAAAGAGTTGTTCCGAGTCTGCTGGTGACGAGCACCGGATCCACACACCGCCAAAAGGGGAAAAAAAGGGATAAGAGACAGGCGACGCAAAGGTCCGAGCCAGAGGACCGAGGCAACCATGGGGCATGGCTCGCGCTGCTGCTCCCCCTTGCTGCTGCTGCTCACGCTCTCGGCGGTAGCACGCCGGTTCCACCTTCGCGTCCCGCTCTCTGCTACAGCCCGGATTCGAACTGGCACGTTTGGTTCAACAACGGGCGTGGGGACGCTCTCTGGCCGCCGCGTGGCCTCGGCAAGACGGAGGGGCGGGGCCCCCACCATGGACGCCGGCGAAGATTTCGACCAATTGGATGGGGTGAGAGCTCGTCGTGGAAGGGTCGGGGGGGGGGGAGAGAGAAAACAGGGTTGGTTATGCTGTCGACCTGTCTGTCTGTTCGTTTTTCTTGTGCCTTTCAATTTTCAAACAGCAAGCACGCGCCGGTTGAGGTGTTCTTTTCTATTTCGCCACTGCTGTTGGTGTGGCACGCGAACGTACTCACTGAGTTTTTACAAACGATGTGTAGAGGCACGAACCGCTCTGACCTCACTGCACCACACGATTGCTCTGCGAGAGGCAGTGTGTGCAGTCAGTCTCGGGGTGAAAGTTTTGTTTCTGCCTCCGGTGACGTGGCTCGCTCGAAACGGTATAAAGTGCGTCGTGTGTTGTTTGTGACGGTTTTGAGGTTCTGCAACGTTGATGTCGTCGGAAAGTTCTCAAAGATGCGTTGGCTTGCGATGGTGGCACGGTCTTGACACCACGTGTATCGCTGTGTCGCTGTCCCCCTTTCATAGTGTTGAGCCTCGCGCCCCCCCCCCCCCCCCGCCCCCCCCGGTCAAGGATCCATTGCGCCCAGAGACCTTCTTCAAATGAATCCCGCCCGTGCAGGCAGCGTTGGTGCGTGGATCCATCTTCGTTTCGTCGCGGTGTCCATCTCTCCCTTCCACAAACAGATTCCAGAAAAAAATGCTTCTAAATAGTGAAGACGAACTTCTATATCGTAGACAGCTTGTGTTAGCAGTGCTTCTAGCTCGCATAGAATAAAAGGTAGAAATCCAAGCTCGACGTAGTCTAATATTCCACGTTTTCATCCATTAACTCCCGCGTGTCGACCAAACGTGTATTACTCGCGTGCAGATCCCGGGGATGCCGGAAACCATTGGTATAGGCCCGATTCTCCGCAGCAACGCCACCAAATCCATCGACATCCGCTTCGGCGGCGTCACCTTCAGCCGCAACGGCCAGATCCGTGGCGACGTCCACTCCGTCCTGCCCACCAGGGGGGCCTTCGACCTCCCCCCGCTGCCCGCCGCACTGCCGGAGTACTCACTCGAGAGCGAGGCCGCGGCGGCCGCGGCAGCGGCCGCCTCCGCCGCCGTCCCCCCCCGGGACCACGCCGCTAGCGTAGCGGAAGAGATCGCGCAGAAGATCGCCGAGGGCGGCGGCCCCGACGTGGGCGGCCGTGCAACCGCCGGGGAGCTGCAGCTTACGCCGTCGGGCTTTCGGGCGGCCGCCCTGCAGAGCGTGACCGGGCACGTGGAGATCCGAGAGCGGCGCGCGGCGGAGACGGGCACCGGCACCGGCAAGGCGAAGGCGCCGGCAGGGATCGACCCCACGCGGGTCCCGAACCTCTGGCTGGCCGTGGCCCACTCCTCCGACGTCAAGGCCGGGGAGGTGAAGAAGGTCGAGGTCGACGGGGTGCCGATAGCCCTGTGGCGCACCTCGACGGGAAGCGTGAGCGCGCAGTCGGACGTCTGCATCCACAGAGGGGCGAGCCTGGCCCGCGGGTGGATCGCCAACGACCGCTTGGTCTGCCCTTGTGAGTGTTGCCCTTGGTATCTTGGTCGCGGAAGCAGTTTTTTCCTTCGTTTTTTTTTTTGGTTAAAATGCCGTTTTGGTTGTTGCGGTTTGTGGCTGGATCGAGCCCCCGCGTGAAGATATCGGAGCTCGGGCGCTCCGTAGGCAAGTACCGAGCATGTCGTAAGCTACATCGATCAACACTCCCTATTTTTTACTCTAATTTTCGTGAAGAAAATTTTATATCGGCTTCTCCGTCCGCAACCTACAGTATCCGGACCCGGAACCCACACTTGTTGAGTCATCTTTTATTAAAAAAAAGGCACACTTAAAAATATTTTTCTCTGCTAAACGCTTGGCACATAGGTGATGGCGTTCTTCTAGCTCCGACCACCTCCGCCGCCTCCACCACCACTAAGCAACTCGAACCCCCAACCCCATTTCGTTCCGCCTCCTTCCTCCAATAGTAACACACATACCCCCCCCCCCCCC